TAAAATAAAGCATTTTTTTTACAGGAGAATTTTGGCTAGGACTAAAAAAGATTTTTTACATAGTAAATCAGAAAAATACCAGTTTCATGCTGTATGTGGCTTTGAAATCTGAAGATAACTCATTTGCTTATGCATCATATGATAATTTTTGGCTAGAGGATGAAACAAGATTTTTTAAAATGCACTTAGGACGGTATTCAGGAAATGCTGGTAAGTTTTTTATTCCTAAAATTATCCAGAAGGTTGAAATATAACTGACTCAATATTACATAAGGATAAAAATAATGCATTTCTCTTGATACATAACACATAACTAATAGCAGACAAGATTAGGAATGAGAAAGTTGGCCAGATCTTGAGTTTTGAAACTTTGTTATGATTGTTGTACCACCTCATGATTTTGAAATGCTCTAAAACAATTTGCCATCTGTAATCTTACTTGATTCTTTGGATAGAGAGCCTGTGAGTAGGCTTGGAAGGCATTATTCCCATTTTTCATATTGAGAGGCTGACATTTAGAAGTCCTGGAATGTTAGAGATGATCTCCATTCTTCTTACTTTACAGGTGAAAAAATCTGAAAGATTAAGTGACTTGCCCAAGATTCTCAAATTATCACACTTGAGCCAGGGCAAGAATCCAGGTTGACAGAACAACTAGTTTAGTATTCTTTTCACTATATTTTGATGCATCTACTCATTTATAAATAAATTTAATTTGTTAGAACTTCCAACTACTTGATACTAAATTTGTACTTTAATCTTAAAATTTAGTCATTTGAGTTAAGAAATACTAAATTCAACCCCTCTGTTGTTGCTGTTTATGGTACTTATTCAATATGTATATTTAGTGCTAGAAATCCAAAAAAAGTGATATATGTTCCCAGCTTTTTCACTGATCACAATATAGAGGAGAGGATAACTAACACTGAAAACACAGAATACCTAGAGAGCTTTGGTGGTCAAAGAGGGAGTGAGAATGATTTTAATTAATTGCATCCAGAAAAATCTTGTTGAAATGGAAGATTTTTCAACAAGGGTTGTCTTGGGAAAGATACTTAATCTTTGCAGGAGTATTGTAAGTATCTGGATACCATATATACAATGTCCAATGCAAGCCCTTTAAAAATAATATTGTCTCACCTACTATCCATTTGGTCCATATATCATGTGAAGAACCATGGAAAAAAGACACACCTCAGGCGTATAGCTGAATTTATCTTGGGGCCATTAAGTATTCTATATAAACTTGATGACTCCTAAAGAATCTAAACAACTTTTGTAACTATAAATCTAAGTTTCTTAAAAGTAGAAGTTTTACTTTCATTCATACCTCTCTATCTAAAGTGATATAAATGGTAGTAATATCAAAACCTACTCCGTGTCAATTATTTTCTTTTCCTAAATTATCGATTACCATATTGGTCTCCCCAAAATATGACAGGTCCTTACAACTATAATTTTTGGCCTAAATTATCTGATTTTGTCTACACAGCCAAATTTCCATTTTGGATTGTGACTTTTATGTCAAATATCCATTTAAAGATGCTTGTCATGTTGAGGAATTTATCACCAGATTTTGGCATATTGAAATCCGCAAGACAGATTTTAACATGATAAACAATAGAAAAATAATTTAAACCTTATTTCTGGGTGCAATGCTTTTGCCTAATATGCTGGTAATGGTTGACTAAAGTAATGGAAATTGGCCGGGCGCGGTGGCTCACACCTGTAATCCTAGCACTCTGGGAGGCCGAGGCGGGTGGATCTCTCAAGGTCAGGAGTTTGAGAACAGCCTGAGCAAGAGCAAGACCCCGTCTCTACTAAAAATAGAAAGAAATTATCTGGACAACTAAAAATATATATGCAGAAAAAATTAGCC